CACCTTGGCTTTCTCCAAGCTCCAAGCTCTCCAAAATCTGCTCTCCTCTGTGTAATCCCTCAATGACTTCCTTCCCCACGTTCAAAAGGCTCCCCAACTTCAGATTGCAATTCCCTTTTGCTTCCCTCTCTCCTCCTTTCCAGCTTTTACTTTTAGTATTCTAATGCAAAGTCTTCACCCATTGTCTTCTTGTCCCCTTGCAAATGATGAAGCCTTGTCCTCACAAAGATGCCAAATGCTTCAGAAAATATCTCATCTACTAAGGTAAATTCTTGTTACCAAGTGTTATGGTAACAAGAATAATCAAGATGACACAATGGAGGTAAAAGCTGGCCAATTCCGGATTTCCAGAGCTGTGGTAACATGCTGGATTGGTTGGATAGGCAATACTTGTCCAATGGAGCTCAAATTTGGATATGTTGTAGTTAACATCCATTGGAACAAGTCTCATGAAGATCATGACCTCATCCGAGCACCAGAGCATGTTGATCCCAGGCCGAGAAGTTGACCTACGAAAATGAACAAAAACAAAGTTTATAACCAATAATGCACTTTTAGCTCATTTTCATTCCAACCAAGGTAAAATCTAACAAAACACAAAAAGGAAGTAAAAAGTTATAAAATGTCAAGAACTAACTCAAAATAGTGGGTGAATAACATGAAAAATCATGTGTAAAAATGAACCGAACATGAAGCCATTAAAGTACCTTCGTCCACATTATGGAACTCTAAAAACATTCTATGAAACGATGGCGGATTCATATTTGAAGGTATAAGTTAATTGTTTCTCATTTTTTTTAAAAAATGTATAATTTACCTTTTTCTACCCTACCCGTTTTTTTATTTATTCACTGTAGTTTATAATATATCTTCTCTTACATGCAGAAATACCCAACAGAAATTTTGTCAGTTTTGGCACTGACCGTGTGTGTTGAGGGAGAACGGGTATGCCTGACTATGCTAGGACTTCTGCTTAATATATTATTCTTTTTTTATTGGTTTAGTTATAATGTATCCATACTTGTATCCTTTATTTGCTTTCTACTCTTAAAATTGAAAGAGAAAGATCGAGTCCTTGGGTTCGTGTACATTTATATATTTGTTTTCTTTGTGTTTTTGTTTTTGATGGTTTCGTATTTTAGGCCGAAGTGAATCTGAATGCACAAGCTTTGAAGAAGTTTGTTGGGGAGAATCAGAGGTTTAGGGAGAGAGAGTGCTCTCTCTACTATCATGACCGGGAGGCTGAGATTCGTGTTTAGGAGTTGGAGGAAGAAGTCCGAGAGTTTATACTGTTAGAAATAGTCTAATGCAACAACTTCAGCTTAAGAAATTTTCCCAGGAACCAAACAGGCAGTGAACGAAACCCTAACCCTTAGAATTGCTTACCAAATCCTCATCCTTCTTTTCATCATTCTTCGACGGACTTCTTATCGCGCTTGCCGCTGCCGCTTGGGGTGTTTGGATCTTGTGGCGCTATGTTCAATGAACTCGCGCTCTCCAATTTCTGCTTTCCTCTTTTACAAGAAAAGCTCAGACCTCTTGCTTTCCTTTTCACTCTCTCCGCTTAAAGAAATGAGTTCGATTCGATTTAACCCGACCCGTTTTATCGTGGGGTGAGGGATAGTATTGCTATGGGGCCCATGGCCTTTGCCGACATAAAACATTCAAAATCTACAGATTCAGACGGTCACGGGCCCCATTAGCCTTTGCCGACGTAAAACAGTCAAAATGTAGATTCAGAAGGTCACGTCCCATCCCCGATCCTCCACGTAATACTTCCGCGGAAAGAGTCCAGCCGAAAAAAGACGAAAAAAATGAAGATATTATTAAGCAGCAGACAAAGCGAGTGACAAACCGCCGCAATTAACGTAGTTCACTAGACGAAGCAACCCATTTTCCATTTTGGGTCGAACTCAAAAGCGCGACGAAGAAGATGGAAAATAAGCCTCTGCTCGGCGGCGAAGCCAGCGGAGTTCGTTCCGGCGATCGATCGGCGGGCTTCAGACGCCGCTACGATGCCAAGAAGAAGCGTCGGCTCGGCGGCGAAGCCAGCGGCGTTCGTTCCTACGATCGATCGGCGGGCTTCAGACGCCGCTCCGATGCCATCACATTCGGCTCTCGTTATCAGAAAGCTGCCGCACTCGTCGATTTGGTCTGACTCTCTCTCCTAAAACCTTCTTTCAATCTTGCTCTTTACTCTTTGCTCTTTGCTCTTTGAGTTGCAAATGCATTGCAATCATTGCTGATATTGCGATAATCTGCAGGCGGAAGATGGCATTGGCTTGCCTGAGCAGATACTTGATCAAGAAAGTTTCCAGAGTGCTGCAAAGTATTACTTTCTTTATGTTCGATTTAGCTTCCTTTGGGCCTTCCTATATTTTGCTCTCCTAATGCTCAATTTCCTTGAGGTGAGTTTTTGCTTTTTTATTTATTTATAGTTATTTGGGGTTATTTATTTGTCCAATTTTAGTATCCCCTTTGATTGTTGCTTGGTGTTGGTTAATTCTGTGCAGAAACCTCTGTGGTGCGCGAGGTATACTGAATATACATGTAGTGACAGAGACTACTACTATCTTGGGGAGTTGCCATACTTAAATACTGTTGAGTCGCTTATTTATGAGGTAATTTTAGCTTTTGGACTCTCTTGCTATTGTAGTTTCTTACTGAACTTTCGAATAGAGTTCATCATAAATGTTGGATACCCCATTGGACATTGCTTTTAAAGATTTCAATGAGTTGTTTTAAGTTTACCATTTTAATACCTTACAAATTTTAGAACTCATTAGTTTACTTACGCTATATGTATATGTGGAAGGTGAAGTTCTTCAAAATGTTCTGTCCTTGTGTCCGGGAGTGGTGCAAAAATATTTGCACCACTCACATTCACAAGGCGCATATGGAATAGTTAAATCATGATAATTAAAACCCAACATGTGGAATTCAAATTGACATTGGAAGGTTGTAATTGCTTTCATTAGAACTTAGGGTCTCTTGATCTGATACATACAGTTGGTTGGTTTACCACTATCCCAAAAGTTTAAGCTGTTATAATGCTGGATAACAATTGCTTTGAGTTCTATTATTTAGCAATTAGATCACATTAACATTTGTTATCCGATTGAGATATTTTTTTCTCCTCTGAAGATGAATTAGGTTTTGTGTAATCCCCCAAGCACTTGTGGTAATATTGGAAGTCCAGTAGACAGTATCAATAAATTAGGGAGAGAATTATTATAACTCTGTAAGGGTTTAATAGAATAGAACCTTAATTGGTTATATTTTTATTTCCAACAGACAGAAAACGTCATATATAATACGTCCTTGCATTATAGTTTTATTGAAAAAAAAACACTCTGCGATGAATTAACTCGAACCAGAACTTTAGATTTTCTAAATAAATAATATATTTCATTTTCTTCCCAATAATATTGGGATGCGGGTAAGGTAATAATTTTGAACATTGGTCTCACATTACTGGTATAGATGTTTAAGGATATTGATTATAAACTTTGTTTGACTATTATTTTCATGTTTCTAAACTTATCCAGTATTAGAATTTAGAGGTACCTTTTAATGACAGTACTCCTTAACAAGTAGGGCTAAATACCATTAGTATGCACAAACAAAATTCCATCTTCTAACAAACTGTAGTTAAAGTTAGAATGCATAAACAATTTATTAACTAATGTATATCTGTTGTTTACTTAGCAGAAATTGAATATGGAAAAGACTTTTTTTTCTAAGTGTAGCCTGACTGCCTGATCAGTGCTGGAAAGATGTGTGAAGATTCATGTGGTCTTTTTTTTATGTGTCTATTTTCTGTTTTATAATGCATTAGATAGCTAGTTTTCTATTATCTTTTTAAATTTGTAATATTTTACCTTTTCCTGTGCAGGGCATAACACTCATTGTACTCATGGTGCACATTTTCTTTCCAATTTCATACGAAGGGTTCCAGCTCTATTGGAAAAATCATCTTAATCGATTTAAGGTAGGTGTTTGGTTTTGGCTTTATTATTGTTGGCTGTAATTATGGTCTTGTAGAACCGTTTATGTGATTCAAATTGCGCTTACTTGATTTGCTGCTTGCCAAATCCAAATAATCTTTAGATGACTTGGTGGGTTGGGTGGGGGAGCTGTGGGTAGTTAGATCCTGGCTACTGTTGGTGCTACCTGTAACCAAGGATGACAATGTTGGTGTACAACTCAACATTTAGGCCAAAATGTCCCTTTTTACAAGTTTTAATTTTTCGGTCAAAGTTTTGATTTATTTAACTGTTATGCAATTCTTTATTCTATTAGAATCAACCATCTTAGCATCATTATTTCTTCAGTTTCATTTCTACCATAATGAATTTTTGGCCCTCAGTCTTGTGAAATTTTATTGCTTTTCCCGATGGCTGCTTGATGTTTGCTTCATAAGGAATGAAATATAATCCAAGAAGGAATTTACATGAATATTACAAAGTATGTATGTTTTTCATGTTTTATCACACAAGACATCTTCAATGTGCCTTTCATATTCAATATTCAAAATCTGTATCCTAGACTTTTCTTCGTAATAGACGGCAGAAAAATATGGTCTAGGGTTCTGGGTTTTGTACAGATAGAAAGTTATCTTCTTACAAAAGACAACTAAGCAAAGAACCATCCAGCCAAGAATCCTTGATAAATTGATTTAGGCCTTTAGTCCTTTGTGACCAACATTTGGTTATTTCTAGAGGCGACAGTTGTACAAAGAAAGTGAACTGCTAAAATGGTAGTGGTTCATCTTTTCTAGGCATGTGTATTACAATATTTATTTCGTGCTTTTGGACTTACATAACTTTTGATATCTTCAGTCTTATAAATAAGGGAAAATATCTCGAATAGAACTTTTACCGTAACATGGTTCTCAGATAAACTGATTACATCGATTGAAAATAGCCCCAGAAAGTCTTGATATTGCATAAATAAAGTATGTCGATGTTGTCGATTTGCTACAGTAATAGTTCTATTCAATAGCTTTTCCCTATAAAGAGTTCAAAAAAGAGAGCAGTTTTTGGTGTAGAAATGATAAAATCAAGGTTGGATTTAATATTTTGATTTGTCCACGGGCCGGAAAACCCGTATGATAATTTTGTTCTTTTTAGTAACAAATTTGTTTGATTTTGATTTTCAGGTCATGTGCCTACTACTTTTGGTTGCTGATCTGGTGGTTTATTTTCTCTATTTGTCGCCAACGGCCTTTGATTCCCTTCCGCTCAGGATTGCGCCATACATCAGAGTTATCTTTTTCATCTTAAGCTTTAGGTATTGTGTGTAAAACTTGATTCATGTGTTTATTCGGTGTGGAGTACATAGTCATACAGGGAGATTCTTTCAAACTTGGTGGAAAAAAAGCCTGGGGCAAGAAGGGAGATTTTTCCATCATGCAACCATCTTAGTTTTTTCTTTAGTTTTGCACAAGAAATGTACTTATATCAGTTTAAGCAAGGATGACCATGCAACCATGACATCTAATTTTTTTCGACTTATGCACAGGAATTTTGCTTATATAAATTTGAACAAAATTATTTTAAGGGACTGTAATTAGACCAAACATGATCATTTGGTTGAACTGTAATATCTTTGTATGGTTTAGCTCTTTGACATCATGTTAGGTGGTTTTTCTCATTGTTTTTTTGGGTAACATACCCGTTATGGAGGAAAATAAAGTAACTCTAGGGCAACATCAGATGTAGAGTTAGTTTGATGCTGCGGTTTTGATTTTTTTTAGTATTAACACGACACGAATTTGCAATATTGTACTTATATTAACAGTTCTTTTTATTGTTAACAACTTTATCTTGATTTAGTTTGATGCTGCAGTTTTGATTTTTTTTTTTCCTTTTTCCCATTTTACTTATCTTAATAGGGAGTTGCGGTCATGCATGCTCATCCTAGCAGGAATGCTTGGCACATACTTCAACATCTTGGTTTGTTAACTATCTATTGTTGTGCCATCATTTTGTTAGTTCCTTATTGTCTTACCTGCCACCTTTATTTACATTATTGGCCCCCTCTCCTGTAGCTTGTTGTGGGTAATGGAGGAGAGTCAGATTTTGGGAATAAATTGTGTTGGGAAAGTTGTCTTTCCATTATTTATTTCCCACTTTGTATTGAGCTTCTTTGAATTGCAATGCTGCCATCTCGTCTTTGGCAGTTCTCTCTTCACTTGGTGTTATTTAATTGAACTTACAATTTTATATAAGCTTCAATGCTAGGGAGTTCCAAGTATTTGCAGATTTGTCCTCTCTTATATGTAATGTCTCCTTGAGCTCGAGTCTAGTTGACCAAAGCTCATGGTCAGCTCATCCTTCTTGTAGCTTTTTCCTGCAAATCATTGTTCCTTCATTGGTACAGATAACCTGGATTCGCCCTCTGAGACATTTAAAGATCATTTGGATGGCCTGTATGCCAGCTGTGGTGCAAATTTTCTCTTGGGTGGTGGCTCATGGAAAATTAAATACCTGTTACATGTTGTAGAGAAGACACTTTGTATAGTTATCTCTGTCTTTTTGCGTGGTGTAAACTGGATGAGGAGAATGCAGACCACATTTTTCTGCACTGCAGGTTCATTACTCAGATTTGGAGAAACTAATAAATTTAGGTCCTACGTGTTCTACATCAATTTCAGGAGGTGTTTGGCTTGGTGTGGGTTTTCTCTAGAAACTGCTCTGTGTTGGTAGGGGGTTTCATGAAAGAAGGGGTTAAGGGTTTAAGGTTTAGGAATTGAACAAGGGAATCTTTAAAGACAAGGAAGAGGGTTTGGAGTCAATTTGGATAGAGTTAGACTTTTTGCCTCTTTGTCCAAACATTTTAGAGACATTTCTCTTAGTGCAATCCTTCTTGATTGGGGAGGAGCGTTGCACTGAGCCTGAGTGTATCTTGGGAAGCTGCTGGTTCTGGTTTTTTCCTGGTTGAGAGATTTTGTTCATGTATTGTAGTTTTTGTAGGTTGACCCTAGATTCTATTCATCTTTCCAAATTCTATTATTCTAGTTGCCATCAAAACAAAAAATTCTTACTTTCTGTTATCCAGTTCCTAAGGCTTCTGTGATGGTAAAGTTCCATCAGTTCTGTTTCAATATCAAAATTTTAGTTTTCAATGAATAAACTTCCTTTTTAGGCTTTGACTGTTTAATTTTCTTCAATTGCAGGCTCTAGGGCTTTTATTTCTTATGGTTGCCAGTTGGTTAGCCTATGTCATGTTTGAAGATACCCAACAGGGGAAAATATTATTTACTTCGTTTGGTACCACCTTGTATCAAATGTTCGTTTTATTCACCACGTCCAACAATCCAGATGTCTGGATACCTGCCTACAAGTAAGTGTTGTCTTGAAAATTGATTAGAATCTTACTCTTGTTTCTTTCTTTTGGTTTTGAGTTTCAACCAATAAAGTCTGGTTTGCTACTGCCAAGCGGAGAAATGTTAAATTTTGCTATAGATACTTTTCATGCTTTTCCAATTATTTTAGGCTCCATTTAGATGGAAGGATTTGAAAGAAAGGATTTTTATTTGACAACAAGGCTAAATTCGCTACAAAAACTCTACCACATTAGATTGAATGTATTTGAAATAACTAGATGTAGTACATTTGAAATGGATTTGAAATGACTACATGCAAGGAATCATTTGAAATCAATTTGTTTTCTTCCTTTCTTGTCCAAATCTTGGCATGCATGGATTGTAATAGTCTATGCAAACAATATTACCTTATAATCTCATCTAAATCCATAGATTTTGAATGCCTCCATCCAAATGGAGCTTTAGGGATTTGATTAGGGATTTTAATTTGAGTTGATTTGGATGGTATGTAACTCTTTGGAGATAGATGGGAATTAGGAAATATTGAAATCCTATTGCCTTTTTTAAAAACAATAAAAAAAATTATATCTCTCTTTCTCTTCCCTATGTTTAATTCTGAATTACCTAACCTCTTTTTGAAGAGGAAGAAACATTTACTAATAAAAATCAAACAATATAATCTGTGGACATGAAGTACACTTCAGAATACAGAATCAAACCCAAAAAAAAAGGGGAAAAGAAGAAAAAGTGAAAATCCTACAAAATGTTATTTGTTTAACAGGAACAACTAATCCCAACTTATTGTTGCCTTCCAATCTAATATGCTTCTGTCAAGTTTTGCATGATGCCCCTTTCATTTGCTGGTTATCTAGCTGGTGGGTTTCTCGTCCACCTTGTTTTTGTACTGACTTTGGGCACTAATAAAATTTTGTTTTCGTGTACTAAAAGAAAAAAGGATTTCCAACAAGTCTACATCTCTAACACCATTAGATACAGAGGCCCGTAAGGATGACCAAAACTTCACACAGCTCTTCCACCTCAGCCCCTTTATGCTCTTCAAAATTTTTTCAGTTCCTTTCCATCCAAATCACCCATATTACCTTTAACCACAGTTAAATAACAGTTGGGCGATGATGCACTTGATTGACAATTTCACCCTGCTCTCTGCACATCACTCACTAGTTTGGAGCTAAATGCTGATCTGGTCTTCTTTGTCGGAAGCTGATCACACATGTTTAGCTTCTCATGAGCAACTCTGACCTTGGGAGGGGCTTTTGCCTTCCATTTTATCTGAGCTGGTTCAAATCTTGAAACATTAATATCCTTTTCTAAGATGCCTGAAATATGATTTGCAGGTAAATTCCCCTGCACTTTCGAGTCTCTAAGATGCCTATTTGTTTAGTTAGCATCTGCTAGCTAGACTAGCGGACAATTTGTTCATTGTTCTCTTCGTCTTTAAGGAAATTACGTTTTTTTATAAAAAAAACAATTTCCCCTGCACTTTCCATTCTCCATAGCCTTGAATTGGATCACTTTGTTGTCAATCTAACTGTCCATATGAGCTGGTTCAAAATTTATTTATAGACAGTTATCCTTCCGGAACCGTTATGAAAATTTGGAGGAAGTTTTTTTTCTTATTATTCTGTAATAATTTTTGAACATGTGGGTACTTTTAAAAAAATCAAGCAGGTATTGCTTTCATATTATGGACACATTATGGGATAAAAATCAATGAGAAATAAACAATTCAGCATAAATGCAAGAGAAAGTCAGCAGGAGGAAAGTCACCATGAAAAGTGAAGGGGAATCAGTCAAGCAATAGGCAAATCAACATAAATGCAAGAGAAAGAGGAAACTATATCCAGCCCTGTTGGAACAGAGAAAATAAAATTTTCTCTTTAGATGTCTACTTTAAAGTGCTTGTAGTGCATTTAGAGCTTTATTTATTTATTAAGTTCTTTTAATAGCATTTCTGGACACATTAGGATTTCTGGAAGTTTAACATTGGCATATTTTAGCTTCTAGAGATTGTTTATTCCTCTGCAAATTGGTATTAGAGTATTTGCACTTTTATTTTAGCTTCTAGAGATTGTTTACAGTTTTATTAATGTTTTCATATTACAGGATTTGCACTTTTATTTTGTTGGTGCCACTATTTAATGAAATGTTGTTATATTTATTTCTTATTTAGGGCTTCACGTTGGTATTCCTTGTTTTTTGTTCTCTACGTGCTGCTGGGAGTTTACTTTGTCACTAATTTGATCCTTGCTGTTGTATACGACAGCTTCAAAAGTCAGGTGTATTTCATTTACCTACTATGTGCACTTACGCATGTGTTTAACTACATGATTGCAACTGTTGTATTTGTATTTGGTCTTCACTTGTTTAGCTGCTGCTAGAGCTTACTACACTAGCAGTGTTGATGGAAAAAATATGAATGCACATTCTTATATCTTATTTGTTTTGTAGCTTGCAAAACAAGTTTCTGAGATGGATCAGTCGAGGAAAAGTATACTAAAAAAGGCCTTCAATTTATTAGATAAGGATGTAAGTAATGGTTGCCTCTCATCCTTAAGATCTTCCTTTGGACTGCTTTTCAATAACTTTCGCTGATTTCTTTCATACAGGAAATAAGAGATATGAGCATCTTTTATACATTTATTATTCAGTTTCTCATCTCTATATTTAGTGACTGCTCATCTATCAGACCTTTAATGCTTAAGAAAATAACGGAAAAAGGGAGTGGAAAATTTGAGGTTTGGGATAAGGTACAAGAGAAGAGGGGTAAGGAAGGAAGAGGGAAGCAAAACATATTTGCATTAAGATTGTTAGTTGGAATGTATAAAGATTGTGGGGCACAATGAAAAAGAAGGTAATAAAGAAAGTTATCGTAAATTGTGGTGCAGATTTAGTGTTACCCAATAGTCATGTAAGAGAAAGAGTGGTCACCAAAGTGACTTTTTCTAATCTGAAGAGGTGGTGAGTCCGGCAATCATCACCAAAGCCTTTTAGGCATGTAGATATGTGGCTTGAACATTTTTTTTTTGAATAGAAACACTTTTTATTCAAAATTGAATGGAAAAAATGATGACATTTAGGACACAGACCAAACAGACACACTTGCCAAAAAACAGACTCAAAGCCACTCAACACAGAAAACCAGCCAGACATAAGACACTCCTTAAGATACTACAGCTAAAAGATTTCGCATAATTGTAGGATAGGATATATCCTTAAAAGCGTGAGAAGTTGATGCCCAAAGAGCAGCCCAAAACTTCACTCTTTCCCATAACTCTACCATTCCCACTCCCTTATAATCCTCGAAAATTCTTTGAACATCAATCTTCTAAAAAATGTTTTATAAAATGGCGGCTGGATGGGGAGGAACAAGTTTGGGGAGGGTTCAAATTTATGAGAAAATTGAGAGCTTCAAAGGAGAAAATTAAGTTTACGGGTTGCTACACTGCCAGTTGGATTTATTGAATGCCAAGCAAAAGAAAACTACTAGTTCCATCTGAATTTTATTGTAAAAAATGTACTTTGTATGAGCATGTTTGTCTCAGATTCTGTAATTATAGTGAGTTATCTTTCCTTGAACTTCCATCCTTGTTATCAATTTTTTCTTTCTCCTTTTTCCCCCCGGGGAAAACACTGCTTATTTCATTTGTAGCAATTTCGTAGATCTTTACCTGGGATTGTAGGTAAAATATAATCATCACAATTATATTCACTTTTATATGGAAGTTTCTTCTGTTGCGTGTGGTGTGTTGATTATGTTTGAGACTACTGCTATTTTCATTTTGTTGCCATGTCGTAATTGGTCTAAGTGTTCCATCATTTTGTGTTTGACAGAAAGTTGGATCTCTCAATAAGGATCAGTGCATTCAACTTTTTGAGGAACTAAATAAATACAGGTTTTGATGATTCAATCTCATCCATATGCTGTCAATGTTCCATGTATAATTTTGAGGTCCTTTTGCTTGAATGTGAAAGTGAGTACTCAGTGTCTTACTAAGTTGACTGTGCCCCTTTCGTGCTTGCTGTACATATACATACCAACTAGTTATTTCTTATACTGTGTCAGTGTTACATTGTCCTGATCTATCTTGTGTTGTAAAATATTTGCATGTGTCAACTGCTAGTTTGTAGTTTTTATTATTTTGTGATATTGACCTCGCAAATGTTGAACTATGCCTTTGTTGAAATTTTGTTTAGGACTTTGCCAAAAATATTTGCATGTGTCAACTGCTAGTTTGTAGTTTTTATTATTTTGTGATATTGACCTCACAAATGTTGAACTATGCCTTTGTTTAAATTTTGTTTAGGACTTTGCCAAAAATATCAAGGGAAGAATTTGAGCTGATATTTGTTGAGCTGGATGACAGTGGTGATTTCCAGGTAGATTAATTTCTTTTAGGCTCTTAATTAGCCTAGTTTTTGGTATCTTTTATTCTTTAGTATGAATTTGACACATTCATTGTATTTTTTCATCACCTAGATTAATTTTATTGATTATTTTGTTTTCTAGTATTTATAATTAAACTAGAACTGCCCTTTTTTAGTACGTTGTGCACTTGACATCTAAATACAACAATCCACGGTTGTGGACACGAAACATTATGCTTGAGTGGATAACCCATGGGTAGAGAGTTTCGTAAATTTTAGTGAGTGATACTATGATGAGTTTTACAAATTTTACTTTGGCTGCAATGACATCCACACAATTGCTCTCCTAGCCCGCCTCCAAAAATTTTCCCTGACTTGCCCATTTTACCATCACATAGTCCATTTTTCAAATTTTCTTTTTCAAACATTCAAAATTTGGAGAAAATAGGTACTGACCGGCCAACGGTAGGGAGAAGGGAGAAGGGGGAATTTTTTTTTTTTTTTTTCTTTTCATCTTTTAAAATTAGAGGAATGAGGGCAAATGATGCAGGGTTGTAGAGAGGAATTATCTAGGTGCCCCGAGAGCTACCATTGTGATAATGCGGTCCTTATGGTAATTCTGTGAAATTTTATAATAATGCACTGGTGCATGCCAAAGGGAGGTGTGGGGTTGTGTGACACACCTCATTCCAACTCAATGAGCGTGTCACTTTTTAAAATCTTTTGTATGGATATCATTTTCCCATTTGATACAAACATTGATATGTATAATTAATTTATACAAAAATTAGTTATGCCAATTATAAGCAAGAAAATTGGCTTTCCAAGTAGAAATTGGGCGTGTTCTTAGTCAAGAAAATAAGCCAATTTCCTCTAACAGGGAAAAGTTGGATGAGGATTAACAATCGTTTTCCATTTATGATAAGTAGTACAAGCTCTCAACCATTGGTGTTACCGTTCATAAGGAGTTCATTCTTGTATTCTGATCACGAGGCACTTAAGTACTTGAATTCAGACGGGAAGTTGAATGTCCAATGTTCTAGATGGAGTTATTTCTAACAAGAGTATACCTTTTTTCTCAAACATAATACTGAAAAGGCTGGTTGATTCACTGAGTCATAATTCTTTGTCCGTGAAAGTTGTGGGATTTAAACATGAACTGTGGCAGGACACTAGTATGGATTTTATTCTGGGTCTTACAAAGACTATCAAAGGCTGTCAATTTTCTAGTTGTAGACAGACTTTCTAAAATTAGTCATTTCATTCCCTGTAGCAAGACTTTTATGCAGTCTACATCGCCATAATATTCTTCAAAGAGGTGTTGTATTTACATGGACAGTCATTAACCATAGTTTGTGATTGAGATGTGAAGTTCATGTGCTATATTTGGGTGAACTTTGTTGAAACTATTGTGTACCAAACTTCTCTTCCCAGCCCTTTTCATCCTCAGATTGAGGGAAAATCCAAGGTGGGTGAACAGAAGGGTGATTGTTGAGACACTTAGTGAGAGATCATGTGACTAATTGGGATCTTATTCTTCCCATGACAGAATTTGCATAGTAGTTAACCCTATTCTAGTAATTGGTGGTGGGATCCATCTTGAGAAAATATGTTTTCGGTAAAACTAACCCTAGCTTACCCGAAGTAACTACAGAGAGAACACATTCAGTTTTAGTAAGAGTAAGATTAACATTTTTCATGATCCATTGATGCAACTCTTGGACTATTATCTAGAGTCTCAACTCTTCTGGTTTAGATTCAGCAGCATTTTGCCATGTAGAGATAAATTGTACTACAATCTTTGTAGATAAGTCTCATCACCGGTTGGGATCGTTGCACAATAACTAGTGTTTGTGATCTATATCTCCTGCTATGCAATACATTCATAATAGGAGATCTTAATTATGTTCCAGCACTAATCTCGCTCATTGTTAATTTGTTACTAAAGTACTGCCATGATTTTCCTATAGTTCATGATTATCTGTCCACAATATGAATTCCAAACTAACTTGTTTTGAGGGCTTACTGTGGAACACACTTCACACTTCTCTTACGGGCTTTTGGGAAAATCAGTTTTTTCCTCTGTTTAATTTTTGGCAGATCCAATCCGTTAAGGAATTGAAATAGTTAAATAATTCTCCTATTAAATCGTGAGTCTGCTGTTGAGATCTGGGTTTAACATATCTTTGCTAGTATTTTTCTGATTGATATTCTTATTATTTTTTCTATATACTGCCCTTCCTTTGATACATTTGCATGTTTGCATGTAACTTGTGTGTACTTTATATATTAAGTTTCTTTTGGTCACTATCATTTGTTAACTCTGCATCTCCCTGATTTATTTGCTGGACATTTATCTGTTTCACTGGTAGATCAACTGGGAAGAATTTACAGACCTTTGCAATGCCATAAGTTTAAGATTCCCGAAGGAGGATACTGTAAGTTGAATTGCTTAGATCCAAAAACACAAGAAAGTTGCTAGTTCATTTAATATGATGGTGAAGTGTTCTTATACAGGACTTTGGTGCTGTAAATTTTGGGTGCAGCCATCTTTGTTTGAAAAATTCCCTTCATTCTACCATTCAGTATTGTCTGAGAAGTTGAAGGCCTTCGTACGGAGCCCCAAATTTGGATACATAATATCCTTCATGCTCATAGTCAATCTGGTTGCTGTTATTGTCGAAACAACGGTATGGCTTGAAACTCAATAGAAATTACACAACTGCTCTACATAAATCAGTGTGCAGTGCGCACACATACGCTTGCACAAATACATGTATTTATATATGGAGCTTCTAAAGAGAGATCCCCTTTTACTATTCACCAAGAGGGATTGCAGGTTAGGCCAACCATTGATGCGATCCGATGATCCGAACTGTTTAATTTCTGGGACATCATTCAAGGATCATACTTGCAAAAAATCACTGAAATCTGAAATTATCAAGACATCTAACAATAACATAGCAGATGGACAAACACAATGTTTCCACTAAAACAGCGAAATGTGCATTATGATAATAAAATGCTCCAACAATCTTAGATTTTGCTAATTTTTTGTTGGGAAGATTCTAAAATGGGGACCCAAAATCTAGGAGGTTTGGATCTTTGAACCACATTGCAGAGTGCTCCCAACAATGGTATCCCTTTCAACTATTCATCCCTAGGGATCCCTCTTACGAAGTGGATTGATACAACATTTATCATTATATAACATTAAAAATTTGAATTGTCAAACTTTAATTGAGAATAAAGTTATACTAAATTTAAGGGTTAAATACCAAAATGGTTCCATGTTTTATTATGTTCAACTTGCTTCCTGTGTTTTCAATCTGGAAAATTCTGTCCTTGGGTTTGGAACTGTCAGGCAATGTGGTGCATTTCATTAAATTCCCTTATAATTTTTTTTAAAAATAAATAAAAGATATAACTATTTGAATTCAATTTAAAACAAAATAAATACAGCCTGAACTAATAAAAACAAGATTTAAAATTAAATAATTAAAAAGGAAAAGAAACCACCATCCCATCCCAGCCTGCCTCCCCTTCCCCGCCTATTGCAGCGGCCATCACCCTTCTGCCTTTCTCTCTCTCCCCCCGACAACAACTCACCATACTGTCCAACTCGACCCCCAGCCACTTTCCCCACCAAGGCCACAACGCCATGCCACACCCAGCTCCCATTTGCCCCATCCCCAGCGGCTCCCTCAGATCTTCCACCCGATCTACAGCCCCATCTATGCCCACCTGGTCATCGTCCCACTCCACCCAATCCTCACACCCCTCTGTCGTGCCCCTCCACCAAAAAGACTACTGATATCTATTCTTGCCAATGCAAGAAAACTATCTCTTTCACCTTTTGTTTTTATCTGCATTCATGTTTCATTATTTACGAAGGGTTCAATGGAATGTTGTGCCACTTTCTTGTTAACCATGGTTTGAATAATTTGAACATTTTATGGCTCATTATTAATTGCTGTTATTATTTATATATCGGCTTGTATTGCGATTTATGTTAATTTTGAATTTGGTGGTTTCAGCTTGATATAGAAAACAATACTGGTCAAAAGGCGTGGCAAGCGTTAGAGTTTGTCTTTGGTAAGGGCTTCCTACATCATTAATTCTTCTGGTACTGTCTTCCTTGGAATAGGAGTTGAATAATGATGCATTTAGTTTTGAATATGTGTATAGCCGTTTAAATTTCAAAATGTTCTAAAACTTGTGGCCTGGGGTTATTATATATATATCAAAGAAAGCATAATCATATATTCCAACCAGTTAAGTACTTCAATTCCCAGTTTTCGGCTGCAGATGAACACAATTAGAGTACATTATCTGGTCGTTATTGACAATCGTATGCATTTTCTTTAGTTTTCTCTCAGCCAGTTGTTAATGTCAGTTATTGAGAGCTATTTCTGGGGACCTTAGCTTTAAATTGTTCAAATGGTTTGTTTTGTGTCCCACAGGGTGGATATATGTACTGGAAATGGCTCTGAAAGTCTATTCTTTCGGATTCCAGAACTATTGGAGGGATGGTCAAAATCGCTTTGATTTTCTGGTCACATGGATAATAGGTAACCATTACGGACAATCACATACAATGTTTAAAATTTTAATGATGAATGAAGTGCAATAGTTCTTTTGCACGTGTACCCTCTTATAAATTCTATTATTTGGTCATTGTCTTGAATTGGTTTATAAAGCAACAGGATAAGAAAAATGTTTAAGACAACATGTGGCCCAAAGAGGCTCTTGGTAGGGGAGATCTCTATAGGGTCCTAATCTTCATGGGAAGCACTATTAAGTGACTCACAAGTACAAAACTGCATGACCCAGAAGGACATATTACTTGCTAAGCATGCCATCTCTAAAACCTCACATTACCTACACTACACATATATCTGAAAAGATTCTCTTTTTAATTTAATCTAAGCTTAATTATTGTTTTGCTTACTATCATCTGAATCTCACTTTCTCCGCTGAATTTTATTTTGTCTCACTTAAACCCCTGAATTTAACTTCCATGTCTGACATTTTCCACTTCCGTTAAGTCTGTCAACAAATTTGTGAAGTTTGATGACATGGCACAACTGGGTTGGTTTTTTTGGCCTACATGTAATCTTTGTTGGCGCCAAGCGGACAAACAATTACTAAGAAATTCTTTATGAAAATTCTTATCTTTTAAAAAAATTAAAACAAAATAATACTAAGTTGAAACAGAAAATTTTAAATAAAATAGAAAAACCAAAACAATCCCCTGCTCGCTGGACACCTCTCCCTCTCTCTCTGCATACTCGATCGACAGAGAGCAAATAAATTCAACTTGGAAGAGACAATTAATAGCACTTAAGGTTACAGAGGGCTGTGGCAGCCTATGAGGAGTTGGATAACAGTTGAGGGACTTCAATAACGCCATTGAAGAGGAAGAGAGAGGGTTTTTTTTTTGGGGGTGGGGGGGTTGGGTGGTGAAGTTGGTTTTTTGTTTATAATTTGGTAAATGATCTTAAAAATAATTTCTAACATATCAAGATCTTTGAAGTATTGTTCAATATATAACTTTGACTTTTTTTCCCCACAAACTATTTTGCATATAAGTCGTCATGATAGGTGTAATTCGCTGAATTTTAGGTTGACTTTGGACTGTATCTAGAACCGTGGGATGATTGTAAGGGATTACTTACCTATTTTATACCTCTCTGTATAGCTATTTGCTGCTTTTACCGGACAATAATATGCATCAATTAAATCCCCATTTTCTCTATTTTCAGCATTCTTATTAGACCAAATTGATTTTTACCTTCATTTTCGACAAGTTCAGAGTGAAGAATTTTAAAGATGATATTCTTTAAGTCTGTCATATATGTTTTTCGCTGATTGTTGTGGCCCCATTCAACATTATGTGTGTCTTTCTTTGTAAGCATTGCCCTCCCCTCCCGTCTCCCTATTTGGTAATTCACTGTAAATTGCATAGGTATTTCACCTTTTCAAGAATCTCATGTTTCGAACTGGGAAGTTAAAGCAGTAAACCCGAACTTTCGGACTAGATATCAGTCTGGGAACACATCGGAGCAAGAAACCTAACTAAAAAGATGTCATTTACATTTATTAACTTGATATGTGCAATCATGTTTTTAACGTATTATTTATATTGCTAATTAAATTTGGATTTTGTGCATCTTTCTTATCATTATTAGATTGCATAATATATCTATGACGAATGATTATCACTTTTGCAGTTATTGGAGAAACTATAACTTTTGTGACTCCCGACGGACTAATTTTTTTCTCAAATGGAGAATGGTAGGGGCAATCTAATTCTTATACTCTGTGCTATTAGCTTTCCTATATTTCCGCTTTTTACTGGTTCTAATTTTTTGTTGCTGAACTATCTTCAAGCCAGAGATTTCTTGTAGGCTCGGAGTTCTTGTGTCTGCAATCTTAGGTGCAAGACTCCAAGCAGGATTCTTTCATGTGCCTAGAGTTTAGGCACATGACTCCAAATAGGAGTCTTTCATTGTCCTATAAGTGCAAGACTCCCAAGTATGGGTCTTCTTGTGCCAGATTTTTGTAGGTGAAAGACTCTTGCCTATAATGCTGCACACCCTTATGACTTGGCACAGGCCCGTATAATTACGAGCGTTCATGATGCATATCACCCTTATGTAACATTCTTGCATAAATGAATCAGGTAGATAGAGAGCCAGAATCTAGGATATTGTTGTAATCTGGATGAGGAGAGTGGATCATATGTTTCTCCTTATTCCGTACATGTGTGGTGTAAGCTGTTTAAGGAAATTAATGCATGCTAGGTCATTCCAAAGGGGTGTTTCGAGTTATTGAGCATTCTTTTTAAGTCTTTAGAAAGGGGAGAAAAACCAAACTTGTAGGGTTGTTTGGGTATTTCCAATCTTTTGGGCGGTTTGGATGCACATAATAGAGAATTTTCAAGGACTAGAAAAGGGGTTCTTGTGGAATTTGTTTCGGATCAAATTAGATTTTTGTCAGCATTGCGGGCCTCAGTGTCTGCAGATTTTAGGGGGATTCATTTTTCATGCTTTCTGTTGGATTTGCTAGCTGTAATTGCATGACATTTTCTTGTAATTTGTTTTGTTGTGATTCAGTTTGTTCTGTGATGATGTGAATTCTGTTGTCAGATTAGAGTGTTTTGGCCTTTTTTCTTAGTGTAAGGTATCTGTGGATGTTTCATCCCCGTTTTTGTACATGGCTTTTTCTTTTGATAAAGTTTCTTTCTTTCAAAAAAACCAAGGCATTAATGTAAGATAAATTTATAGTTTAGGAGCATTCGCCATTCATTCATATCTATAGTTATGAGCATTCGCCATTCGTTCATATCTATAGTTATGAGCATTCATGATTCTTACTTTGTTAGAAAGATGTTCAATTAGGTTTTTGTAAACACTTTGTACAATTTCATGTATCTAATTGAATTTCTGATTTTCTTGTTCACAGGATTCGCTACCTTCTCATTGCAAGAATGTTACGATTGATTAGGATCCTGATGCATGTCCAGCGTTACCGAGCATTTGTTGCCACATTTTTAGCTCTCATACCAAGTTTGATGCCGTACCTTGGGACCATATTTTGTATAATGTGCATCTATTGTACACTTGGGGTACAGGTAATACAGTGCTTTTTTAAACTGTCATTTGTAACTTTTTTTGGTCTTTCATTAAAAAAAGAGGACAAAGGGTTCCTCTGGCCCAACAGACCAGACTAGCAAACTCTAGAATTTAAAATAGCAACCAAAAAGCTACAAATAATAATAATAATAATAATAATAAAACTATCACAACAATACTCTAAGGCACTACAGCTTTCCAATAAGACGTGTTCTTTTTAGTCATACAAAAAGTAAAAGATAACATTTTCCTTTTACTTGAATGATGTCACATACTTATTGACTCTATTATCTATATATCTACCGTCCCAAATTGAGGTCTTATTATTATTATTATTATTATTTATTTTCTTATTTGTAAAGAAAGGCTGAAAACTTCTACATATTTTACCATTTGAGATACAAAAATGAAGCTCATTTTCATTCAAGAGTACTGCTATAAAACCAAGATAAATAAACTGCTATAAAACCAAGATAAATATCAAAATTCTGGATACCAACTGATGTTACAGCATTTCAATTGTTCATATTTGTTCCCACTCTGAATCAAACTTATGTCTAATGTCTAAGATACTGTGATTATCTGCCCTATGATTTTTTGACCAAAATTGAGGAATACTTTTGGTGCCTCTAGTATTCTTATTTATTGAATGATTTTATTCTCAGTTTGAAAGGTTCCATGTTGTCTAAGGCAGACAGTGGTTCCTGAATCCATTTGTAATTATATGGCATGGCATGTCATCCAAACCCCTTTGTAATACACTTACGTTTCTGAAACTATAGTACAATCAAACCTTCAACCTTTATACCAATTTTTAGCAATCCCTAAGGATTTCTTTATTTTCTAATTTGTAGGTATTCGGTGGAATTGTTAATGCGGGAAATGCCTCTTTGGAAGGAACAGATTTTTATGAGAATGAGTATCCTTTGTCATTGATGGGACTCCTTTCGATAAACCTGCGATATTTGGTAGAATATCAAACAGGATTGCTATTATCTCCTTGTTAAATGTTGATTCGTTGACTCTTCTTAACATAATCAGCTATTTACTTTTCAACTTCAATGACTACCCAAATGGGATGGTGACACTTTTCAATTTGCTAGTCATGGGGAACTGGCACATTTGGATGGAGGTATATAAATGTCTCTATTTTTTTGTATTTTTTTTAGTAACATATCCCATATTTTCCCCCCTAGCCCCCATTAGCCCCACTGGATGGGGCAAAGAGAAATGCCCTTTTCTTTATTAACTTGGCAATTCTTAGGACCTATCTGAATGCAGAGACGAAAAATCCTGGGAATCTGTCATAAACAAATCATGCGTAACTGAAAGCCAAATGGTCTGTCTATCTGTAGTCCATAGTGGATTGGACTGGTTATTTTAAATACCCTGTCTTAAACTTTAAATCTGTGGGTGATAGATCAGAGCAGAATATCCTTGTTTGCAATTTTTTTTAGGATGCTTTTCTATTGGATGTGTAGTGCTCATCCTTCTGTGTTTCCTTCACTGTGGGTTGGTTTACTTTGATGCCTCTAGCTTAATTATTTCTTTATATTTCTTGCATAATTTTGTTATTATACATTTCTTGCACATTCCACTTCATTTGCTGAACCACATATGGTTGATGGAGCAGATTTCAGAATTCAGACTTTTTAAAGTTGTTCAGGAGCACTTTGGCCTCGTTTGGTTGTAGGATAAGTAGTAGGATTGATTTAGCTTAATCCAATACTATGTTTCGTGCTAAGAACTGAATGTGGATAGGATGAAAGGATAATCCCACCATAATCCCATTACTCCAACCCCTTTGACCTTGGACCCAAGACCCGGGAACCAGGACACAAACCCAGGACGCTAGTGCTGATAAATGATATTTATCCTTTCTATCCAATGTAATACATCTTACCTCCTAATCCAATCTAATCCTAGTCACCAAGCATGGCCTCCAAGCAATTATAATCATTTTTGCCTCATATTTGTATTGAATCAGATAATGTGGTTGGTCAAAGAAGAAATAATTGGCTATTCTGTCACTAATCATTTATGTTTTACTATTTCAGGGTTACAAGGAATTAACAGGAACTTGGTGGAGCGTGGCATATTTTGTCAGCTTTTATCTTATAACTGTCTTACTGCTATTGAATTTGGTGAGCTACAAAAATGTTACTGCAATATCTCATCTGTACTTATTACATGCATGCATGCAAATATATCCTATATGCATGAATGCGCATGCAATGCATACAAATGTATGCCTCAGATTTCACATTGGGTGAAACAATCCTCTTCTGAATAAATTTTTCTATGAACATTATAAAATTGCAACTAGGGAGTTGGAAGCTCCGCTCCAGTTCCATTCCTTATCTAAGGAGCATAAGCTCTTTCCAACAATGATTGGGGAAAAAGGCTGCTATCACCTCACTCAGACTTGAAATTGGACTGAGCATATGGAGTTGAAAGATGAAATATAACAAGTAAACTGCGGGCCTTGTGCTTTGCGGAGAGAAGCGAGAGAAGAAAAAAAAGACGGGGGTGGGGGTGAGGGGAGCAAGGTCTATCCCAATCTCACATGGATTGGTGGCAAATCCACACCTCGTGCCCTATGAAAGTGCTTTTATACTACCTAATTTCCTAACACTTGGCATAGTAGAAGACTGTAAATTTTAGTCCATAGGCATAAGGTACCCGCAAACAAGAAAATCGTTTATGATAAACTCAGTCGATGCATGGGTAAAGTTCTCAATGAATTAAATTCAGTCAACTTGGAAGAGGGATTCTCAGTTTCTTTTTTAGTTTGTTTCTTGATTATAATTCGCACTAAAGCCTTTGAAACTAAGATGCATACTAGACAGCAGTATATTTCAGGGTACTGAATCATTCTCAGTACAATTTCTTTTCTTCATATTATATTTTTTTGAAAAGAGAAGAAGAGATATATCTTTTTCTCTATATTTTATTGTTTTAAAGCATCAAAATGAGGTTGGTAAGCTTTTTATTTATCTGTTGGTTAGCAAATGTTGTAAGTAAAGAAATTTGAGATTCTACACATCTATATGCGAACTCAATCATTGGAAATGGTGTGATGATGGCATTTGTAGGAACACTTTAATCAGAAAGATTGAATGAAGTGGTCTTAGATACTGAGGCTGCCTTGTACTTAGCATGGGTGTTTTGTGTCTCATCATGCATATCTCTCAGTTTCGCTAAAGATATAACAGAAAGTAAACCTGAATTTTTTTATAAAAAAAATGTAATTTCAGGTAGTAGCTTTTGTCTTGGAGGCTTTCTTTGCTGAAATGGATCTTGAGACATCAGAAGAATGTAAAGGAGATGAGAAGGTAAGTATATTTTGGGTTGTTATTCATGTGAGCCCTGTTTTTGTCTTCATTTATGCTGTTGGGACTCCTTGTCTAGACATATATCAAATGTACATTTTCAAATTATAACCCATAAATTCCCTGGTGTCGGATCAAAACTATTAATGCATTAAATAGTTGATGTGACAGCTGGCTAATTTGAATTGACTTCTATGGTCTCTATAAAGAGACAGCACAAGTAGTTTTCTAATAATTTCTGAGCATTATAAGGGTTGACCTCATGCCAACCCTGAAATTTTAGGATGAAAAAATTCTTGCTGGGTTGGAAGCTTAGAATCAACCCTGAAGTTTTTCATTTTTCCTGCTTTTATGGAGTCATGTATAATAGACCTGTGGTCATTATCAATTCAGTGCTACTAAATGAGTTTAAATCTGTCTTACTTTATTTAGGAAGTGGAAGGAGCAAAAGATCGACGTCGATCTTCGGGGTATGTATTTCTAAAAAATTGTGGCTATGTCAAGTTGTTACCTAAGCCTATTCTTAAAGTGTTACAGATAGTCTAAACTCAAATCTTGCATTTTGTGCAGCTCCAAAACTCAAAGCCAGAGAATTGATGTTCTTCTCCACCATATGTTGAGTGCAGAGCTAACTGAGACGCAGCCCTCTAATGCGTAGCTTCTTATATTTCCATTGTGGTAACGAATTCCTTTTTATCTCAAGTCGACTGTTAAAATATTTAGTTCTTTCAAAAATTTCTCCTATATCATCTGATCTTGAATATGAATGCACCGTATTGTGGATTAATGAGTTATATTTTTCAAATGGGTGCTTCTACTCATACACCACTAAAAACTTTATTGAATGTCAAATTTGTCCTTTTTGTGAAAGAACATACTAATGACAAAGGCTATTTGAAAAGTCATATTCGTTTACTGTTCACCCCCCCCCCCCCCCCCAACCAATAAGGTGAGTGAGAAAAACATTATAATTGACAACTTAGGCTAAGCCACAATTTTTCCTGATCTTAACCTGATCCAAATTAAGACCAAAAAGCCTGTCAAGCTCAAGATATGTTGAACGAGCTGGTGGTCTAGCCCTCCACCCAGGCATAGGGTCCTGGATTGACTGCTGGTTAAGTTGGAGCTCTGACAATAGAAATCATGGGTAACTAAGAATATCCTGATAATTATGGCAATCAAAGATATAGCTTCAAATTGTGGGTGCCAGGAATTTTTCATTTTAAGATTCTATGTTTAATAGGACTTGTACAACCCTTGACTTCCGGTATCGTAATGCCTTGGCTGAGTGGTGTCAGACTGCAATTAACTTCGATTGTGGTTCTCTCCTTAATTTTTGGGCATTGTCGATACAGTTTTCAGCTAAATGATCATAGCATTGACATAGCGTAAGTTTTGTTTTAGGCATCCCATCAATTAGCTAGGTTGGTCATGTCGACTTATATTTAGCATTTATGTGATTCTTGCCAGATTGTGTTTATGGGACTATAGAAACAGTGAAGGAAATACCGACTCAAGAAGGCTACCTGTCTATGTCTTCAGATTCTCGTGCTGGTCTGAGAATGAAATCTTTTTGGAAGTGAGACCTTGCTGGAGACGAATACATCGTTGTTGTGCAATGGACTATGTTCCCGTTTAGGTTCGATCAACGAGTGCTTTTACCATGACCCTGTTTCTGGTAATTTTTGTTTTCTTTCCTTTACATTTTTGCTACGGATACACACATTTTTCATCAAATTTGTAAATTTTTTGTAATGTTAATTGATTGTGCAAGTAAAACCACTAAAAGGTATATGGCGTTATGAGTGGCATCTCCTGTAAACACTTTGTATATTTTCAATACATATATATTTTTAATCTTTATTTAGTATTTTAAAGTCAATTAAATTAGCAATTTATCCAGAACCTCCTTTGAATTTAGGGATTCTCACATATGTTTGGAATTTGTTTTAGCAGTTCCAACTTATTTATTCCTGGCATTTTGGGATCTCTAGTAAGAGGGTGGCAGCAGGAAGCCAACTAATTCATTCCCAAAGGTTATAATGCAGTTACAAAGTTCAAATTCTAGCTTTTGGGGTGAAATTTTTTGGACTGTTGGACGGAGAAAGAGAGAAATTGCAATCTGACTGTTCTTTTTGTTCGAATATAAAAGCTTTCATTGAATTGGACAACTATAAATAAATTAAATGATAGGACAATTGAAATCTGAGTGAAAGCTTCACCTGCCAAATTAACTTGAGAGATGGATTGCGTGGAAGAGGTTGCAGCTTTGGGTGATGTTGGTATATGAAGAAGTAGTGTGTATGCAGAGGGTGGGGGGAGGGTTGGAAGGAGTGGTGGAAGTCCTGGGATAACAATAATTAAGGTTTTTTTTTTATTGGGTGATAATTATGTTGGTTTTAAAATTGTAATTTTTAGGTTATAGAGAATTGACAGAAATGCCCTTAAATTTAAAGGAAAGTTTAAAATAATTAGACATATGTGGTATATTGCAACACTATAAAGTTCAGATGGCTCATAATAAAAATTAAAAGTGGTAATTGCACTCACCTAAAAAGTCGTGGTATTTATGCAAATTTCCCTAATATTTATCAGAAAGAGACATCTATCTATAAATTAGTGATGGTGGCGGAGGTGGTGACATCAATTGCGATATTGGTAGTAGGGCTACTAGTGGAAAGTGGTGGTGGTGATGGCTATGACAAGGTCAAGGTGGTAGTGGTGATCGTATCAAATAAACTCTCATTCAATTAGGATTTTAGAAATGATAACTAATTGAAGTTTCAATTTATGACCTTCAGGTCTTAAGGGCTTTTTATTTTATTTTATTTTATTTTTTATCCATATTGAAATTCTAAAATCATAGGGTTATTCTTCGAGTGCCAAAAGTTATTCCAGAGAAAATCCTTGATAATATGATAACCAAAAATATTGTAGAAATAAATATTACATTTTGGCATATGGGTGGTTCTGAGATTTTGGGGCCTTGTGTAGATTAAAAAATAAGGCCTTCTAAAACATTTTTTCTCTGGATCACCTCAAATCATTAATTGAGGTGATTTAGAGAAGAAAAAAAAATGTTTTAGAACGCAGCTCAAACCATTAATTAATTAGTTAGTTTGGGTGCATATTTTTGCTCCATTAGTAAATTAGGGAATCCTTGTTTATTTGCCAAGTCTACAAGACATAGGACACCAATTGGACATAAATATATGAAGATATGGAGAGATTGGCATCTACTTCTTGATTTATAGGTATTGGACATGGGAGAATATATAGGCGCCAACCTAGCTGGCTACAAGACCTCAAATGATCAAATATATATATTAAGTGCTGAATTCGGAGGATTAATTCCCCTAAGGTCGTTGAATTATAGGCATCGACTTTCTAGACCTTCTCATCATTGAAATACACTTCTGTTTGTGGTTAAGGTGGACGTGTGTGTGTGTATATACATGCATATAAGGTGTGTTTGAGAGAGAGAGAGAGAGAGAGAGAGAGAGAGAGAGATGAGAAGCATGGAAGGAGAGGTAATGCTGGGCATCCCTGCAGAGAAAGCATGGGAAATGTACAGAGACAATGACATCATTAACAAAATAAACCCTGAAATGCTCATGAGTGCTGAATACATTGAAGGAGACGGTCGCCCTGGAAGTCTCAGGCTCTTCAAACTCGGTCCGGTAACTCTCTCTGTCTCTGTATGTGCTTTATTCAAGTCATTACATATTAACCAAAGCTATATCTATGTAAATATTCATGTGGATGAGGCCAGCCTCGACAGAATCCTCCGCTTGTGTGCTTTGGTGTTTATTTCGTGATATTGAACCAGGTCATTTTGGACTTAAGGCTCTAGCGGTTTGGGGTTTAATATATTTAGGGCTCGTTTGGTAAACAGGACTGTCTTGGCATGGACTATGCTTAGGGACTGGCTTGGCTTGGTCTAAGTTGGAAAACACGTATCCTGCGTTTGGTGTACGCTTGGACTAGGATTAGATTTTTTTATTTTTTCAAAACTATCTATGTATATGTATATATGTATAAATACATATATTATGTATGTGTACATATGTATTTTATAATATATGTGACATGTCTATGTATATTCAAGCGGATCTTGAGTTTGTGTACAAGGGGTCGTATCTTGGAGTCTTGTAGACCGTCAGTACCTGCACGTAGGGAGGCTACAAAGGCTTTAGGACAGCGTCTTTGACGTGCTTCACCGTACCAAACTCACCTTCTTACTTATTATTTATTTTCCTTTTACTTACCTATTATTTTGTTTTCTTCAATTTCGTTATACCTTAAAAGCTTTCCTATTTATTTATATGTTATTTATAATATAATATTTTTTTGTGTTTGGCTTTACGGAAAAGGAAAACTATATTTTTTATATTTTTTATAACACAACCACTGTGAAATGCCTGGTATGCCTGACAAGACGTTGGCCTCTGATAATTGTTATTGGACAAGAGCATGCATTCAGAGAATAACAAGCAAGTTTCTTTTGAACCATATGGGTAATTCTTTGAAGAGAGGAGCTTCTATTAGAAAGGTAATAAGTTTGTTCTTATCTTCCTGCAGGACTGGAGTAAAAAGAGAATTCATACGGTTGGTTTGCAGTTACTGGAGAGAGAGAGAGAGAGAGAGAGAGAGAGAGAGAGGTATGCGTGAGAAAGAAGAGAGATTAGAGTACCAAGTAAAAAAGGATACTATCAAGAAAAGACTATCAAGAAAAGAGATTACGTTTCCTAAAAAAGGGAGGAGAGAGAATAATTTTATTTTATTTATTTTTATGAGAGAGAAAATAAAATTAATGATTGTTTATTTAAAACATTAAAACTATTTGTTTTGTCAAATTTAATCTCAACCATTAAAAGTGGAGTAATCTAATGGCCCAAAAATTGTGTCAAAACTTGTGTCAAAAATATGATGCCACGGATCCGCCCCCTGTATATATATATATATATGTTGTTCTAACTATACGTAGTGAGAGCCTTTCTCTAATGTGAGATAAAAGGGACCAAGTTATGATTGTGTTGATGTTTTTTGTTGTTGAAAAAGTTGCTTTATTCGAAACAATAGAAGCATCTTAAGAAAATACAGTGGATAGCATAAGAAACCCAAACATAAGCGACAAGAACAAAAACAGTGAGAGCCTTTCTCTAATGTGAGATAAAAGGGACCAAGTTATGATTGTGTTGATGTTTTTTGTTGTTGAAAAATTTGCTTTATTCGAAACAATAGAAGCATCTTAAGAAAATACAGTGGATAGCATAAGAAACCCAAACATAAGCGACAAGAACAAAAACAGTGAGAGCCTTTCTCTAATGTGAGATAAAAGGGACCAAGTTATGATTGTGTTGATGTTTTTTGTTGTTGAAAAATTTGCTTTATTCGAAACAATAGAAGCATCTTAAGAAAATACAGTGGATAGCATAAGAAACCCAAACATAAGCGACAAGAACAAAAACGTAATCTTAAAAAAACATTCGCAGCCCTAAACCATGATTGGGTTGAAGTTGGGCTGCCCATACTTCAACTATCCTCCTTACAAATTATCCAATTACATCAAGCCTTCATGGGATTGCATATGAAGTTGTTAAAGCCCAATGCTACTCTAAAGTTTGTTGTTGTTTCGCCCTCTTGAGTTGTTGGACTTAATCTCTATAAATAATAAACAATTACAGTCGCATAAAAAAACCATAATGATAATCGAACGGCTATAAAATTTTGAAAGGTGAGGAAAAAGCAGAAAGGCGCTAGTGCATTAGTAAATCAATTGTGTTTTCATTTTATTTATTTTCCCATAATACCCTCCTTTGGAAACATCGCTCGCCAATTGTATGTCATATTACAGCATCTCCAGGAGAGTCTCTAAATTTTAGCCAAATTCTAGCTATTATAACAAACCACTTAAAATGTGTTTCCTCCAGCAATATTCTCTATTTTGGCTAATCTGAAATATTTTATTATTATTTTAATAATAATATATGTTATTAATTTTACAATATAATATATGCATTTTATACATTGGTGAGCATTGAGACTAGCTAATCCTCCCTTTCTACATGGGATTAGTAGTCCCCTCCTAAGGAGGTGTTTTTGGTGGGCCCAGTATTAGTAATCCCATCTAAGACTAGGATTAGATAAAACAAACATGGTACTAAATTTAGTCCAAGTCAGTCCAAGCCAATCCTGTGTACCAAACGAGCCCTAAGTTTATAATACGAAATAGGCTTTACAATTAACAAAACATGTAACGGAGGACCAACACTACTAACAAAAGTACAGTTGAGGGAATCCATAAGCCATTTTACGAATTCAAGGACCGAAATAGGGCATAAATTCATGAACTATTACTACAATTAGGCCTTATGAAATATATTAATCAAAGTTTAAAACGACTAATTAAAAACTTTCAGCATAGGCAGAGAAGCCGAATCTAAAAACACAAGGTTGGTTGTTTTTTCTAATTTATTTGTAAATTTATTCCAAATTTCACTCAAATTAAAATTTTAATTTGGCTAGGTTTTACGGGATCAATTTCTCATGGCCCAACCAATTGTACACCCCCAAAAACACATCGTCGTCCAACCCCAGCAACAAAAAAGTTCATCCTAATCTCCCTTCTCTATGTCGCTCTCA